CTGTACTCAGAAGTCTACGACAGCTTTTTTTTTTTTTTAACAACTGTCAAAACTCTGAAACAACCAAGATGTCCTTCAGTAGGTAAAGAGTAAATCATGGGTACATTCATGTAATGGAGTGTTATTCAGCAGTAAAAAGAAATGAGTTATCAAGCCATGAAATGCATATTACTAATTGAAAGAAGCCAGTCTGAGAAACTACATACTGTATGAGTCCAACCACATGGCATGCTAGGAAAGGCAAAGCTATGGAAATAGTAGAAAGATCATTCACTGATTGCCAAGGGTTGGAGGAGAGGGATGGATAGGAAAAACACAGGGAATTATTAGGAAAGCAAACTATTGTATACAATACTATATTGGAAAATATGTCATACCTTTGCTCAAACTGAAAAGGTAGACTATAATAATGTCGTTGTTATGTTCATTGCTTGCAGCAAATGTATAACTCTCAGTGCTGACACTGAGGAATGGGGAGGAAGCAGGTGTGGGGCAGAGGCTATTTGTGAATGCTCTATTATAAGTTGAGCTAGATTTTGCTATGAATCTCAAACCGTATAAAATGGGTTGGAGAGATGGTTCAGAGGTTAAGAGAATGTACCACTCTTGCAAAGGACCAGAATTCAATTCTCAGCACAGTCCCAGTTTCTCCATCATGACAGATCCTTCCTGTTTGCCAATGAACACAGGACATGAGCACTCAGATGACCCTGAAAAGCTTTGCTTCACTTGCCATATAAAGTATTTTTTATCTTCTTAATCAACAGATCAATTTTTAAAATAAATTAATGATAATAATTCAGAATAATAACTGCAAGAATGTTAACTGCCAATTCTTGACTATTTTCCTGAGTGTGTTCTCTAGCTCTACAATGCAGGAGAAACCTGCCTTCACTGATGGATATGGTAACACATGCCTATAATTCCTGTGCTTGAGAGGCAAGAGGTCAGCCTCATCTACACAGCAAGACCTTGTCTCAAAAAATAAAATAAACAAAAGCACCTTTGTTAACAGATGACTTTAAGGACTTCCTAAGAACATTGCTCAGTGATACAAATCAGTCACAACTGAAAATGGATAGTAAATATAAGCCATTAGTAAAAATATGTACTTGGTATTTTTGTAAATGCATTGTCGTCCTAAATGAAATCATAATTTTCTACAGAACTATTTTTTTTAAGATTTATTTGTTTGTGGAGAGATGCCTGCAGAGGCCAAAAGGAGGCATCCAATCCCCTGGAACTGGATTACAGGCAGTTGTGAGCTGCCCTATATGGGTGCTAAGAGTTAACCAATGAGCCATCTCTCCAGCCCCATATATATGGGGGGGTGTCTTTTTGAGACAGGGTCTCCCTGTAGCCCCAGCTGGCCTGGAACTCACTATGTAGACCAGGCTGGTCTTGAACTCACAGAGATCCACCAGCCTCTGCCTCCCAAGTGCTGGAATTAAAGGTGTGAGCCATCACCCCCAGCCAGCCCCCTACATTTTTAGAGTAGGGACTAAAGAAGTAGTTCAGTGGATATCAAGTGTTTTCCACGAAAGTGTGAAGACAAGAGTTCAAATTCCCAAAACTCCCATAAAAACCGGGCAGGAGCAGTGCCTACCTGTAATCCCAGCATTCAAGAGGCAGAGACAGGTGATCTTGGGGCAAGCTGGCTAGCTAGACTACTTGACTCCATAGAGTTCTGCACACATACATGCACACACATGCACACTCACCTGAACACACACTTTGCACCCACACACATATAAACATGCATAACACACATATGCACACATACATACACAATTTAGGAGTAGAGATAAATATGTAAAGAAGCAGAACATCAAAGTAATGGTAATAAGGGATGAAAACCTATTACATATAGATCCCTGAGTCCATAAATACACCAGAGAATGTTTTTCCTTGCAGTAGAATGCTAATTAATAAACAAAGAAGAAATTATGGATTTGAAAATCATCATTTTGTATCACAGTATTTATCAGTCAAAAATTAACAGTTGGAGTCAGACATGGTGGCATACACCTTTAATCCCAGCACTCAAGAGGCAGAGGCAGGTGGCTCTCTGTAAAATGGAAGCCAGCCTGGTCTACATAGAGTTCCAGGCCAGCTGAGGCAACAGGGAGACCCTGTGCCCCCTCTTCCCCCACCCTCAAAAAAAGAACAGTTGCTAAAACTATAAAAAAATATTTTAAAGGGGGGGGGGTCGGAGACATGGCTCAGCAGTTAAGAGCACTGGCTGTTCTTGTAGAGGACCCAGGTTCGGTTCCCAGCACCCATATGGAAGCTAATAAGCATCTGTAACTCCAGTCCAAGGGAATCTGACACCCTCCTCTGACCTCCATGGGCACTGCATGACACAGGTGCACTTATATACATCCAGGTACACATAAAATACATACATCCACTCATACACATAAAAATAGTAAATTTTAAAAAAATAGTTACTAAAATTAGTGAGGAACAGGAAAGTTACATAGTCTCAATGTACCTCCCCATTAATTGTTTAAATAGCTTAAAATCACAAAGAAAGGATACTTGATATTGGAAAAATGTGGCAAACAATGTATTACCTAAGTAAGTTAATATCACCAGTAACAGGATAAACCAAAGTTGTGTGCCTGCTAATGTACTCAGTTCAATACACCGAGAATACAAATCATATCTGTGGTATTTCTATCAAGAATACAAGATCCGACTCTATCTAGTCACAAGGAAAATACCAGACAGGCCTAAATTGAGTAAGTCTACGAAACAGAAGGCCTATGCTCTACAAAAATATCAAAGTCGAGGCTAGAAAGATGCCTCAGCAGTTAAGAGCACTGACTGTTCTTGCATAAGACCCAGGTTCAAATCCCAGCACCCACATGGCAGCTAACAACTGTCCATTAACTCCAGTTCCAGGGGCCCCGACAGCCTCTTCTGTCCTCCTCGGGCACTGCACGACATGGGTGCACCTACCTATATGCAGGCAGTACATACATACATGCATATAAAATAATAATACAGTATTTTTTTTTAAAAAATCAATGTCATTGAAGTCAAAGAAAGACTGCATAACTCTTTTAACAAAGACTAAAGGGACATGAAAACTAAAAAGAAATGTGCTATTTTAGAACAGAATTAGAAAAAATGCTATAAATGACATGAAGAAGACTGGCAACATGTGAATGTCTGGAAATTGGGAAGTGCACCTTAGCAATGTTAAACTTGCTGCTTTTGCCAGTTACACTGTGGTTAGGAAAGTGAACTTCCTTGTTTCTTTTACTTATTTCTCTGGTTTTGTAGTATTATCCATCTAACAGAAGGCATATACTCTGCTACTGAGTGAAAACCTTCAGGCCTCTGAATCGTTTAGAATTAAAGGCTGTGTTCACAAATACCCTCAAGTAGTTTAGAAAATGTGCACATACATAGAGACAGCAAGTGTGTCAACTGTTAACAGTTGGTGATATTTAGGGAAGGGTTTTGAGAATTTTTTTGTACTATTCTTGTGGGTTTTCTGTAACTGAAATTATTTTAAAATTTGAGAAGCTAAATGTGTATTGTGTGTATCCATTTTAATGTGTTCCCACCATCTACTTTTTGCTTGAAATTCAAATCTCTAAAATATTCTTAATGACTTCAGAGCAGCTACTTCACTAAGCCTGACTTCAGATTTTTAAAAAATAGGTCAAGGTCATGACCCTTAACAAAGCACAACAAAGGTTTGGAAATACTATCTACGTATAAATATTGGCTAACTGTGTGGACTTCTTCCAGGAGCTTTACAAGGGTACCGAGTCCTAAAATTCCTTCATCACAATTATACTGGACATGAAATCTGTCCACATGATTGCCTTATTACTGGATAGGTAGATTCTCCAGGTCTGGTTCTGGTGCTTGCAATTTTCCTCCAAAAAAAAAGCTGTTGGGCCAGGCTGGTGATGCCTGCTTTAAGCCCAGCACTGGGGAGGCAGAGGCAGGCGGATCTCTGAGAATGCTGTCAGCCTGATCTACACAGCTGGGGTTACACCCCGTCTTGAAAAACCAAAAATAATCTGTTGGGAGAAAGATGGGACGGAAACTGAAGGATGTGAGTTTGAACTTTTTTGAAAGGGGGACAACTTTTTATGGAACAAGAAACAGGCACGACAAAATATAAAATAAAATAGTAAACAAATAAGTTTTCAGATTCCTAAGAAGACCACACGCTGTCCTAGGAGGAAAAATCCAAGTGCTGATTGGGAAAATACGTACCAAAAGAAAAAATAAAAAGGTAGAAAAATTGCAAAACGTCTGGATAGTTTTTACCACAAAGTTAACAATCTTGTTTCTCTCCTAACCTGAATGTAAACTGGAAAATCTACAGGTTCCATAAATTACTGACTTGTCATTGGTCAATCTCCAAGGGTCCAAGGGTACGTTCTCTCACACTACTAGGACAAAACTATATTTTGTTAGTCCGCAGAAAATAGAAAGGTAAACACTTGAAAGCATCAAAAACTTCCCAGGATAAGCAGTTACAGACTGGACCACAGGCTAGGCAACCCCCGCTCCGCCTCCCAGCCCACAGGACTGCAAGCAGAGCTGGTGCGCAAGCGCCGCCCACCCCGCCCCTACCCTTGACCTGGAGCCGCTCCAGGGCGTCCAGGGACACTCCCCTCAGAAGCAGGTGCCCAGGTCGCAAGGGCGCGCGAGCCCAGGGACGATCAGGACTCCCTGGGGCGCAGCCGTCCGCCTCCAGCCAGCGTGAGAACCTCAGCCGAGAGTGAACCTGGACCGTGGGAAGGGGCCGGAAGGGGCAGGTGGCGACGCGGGTCCACAACTGCCGACCTCCGCCCGGCGGGCGGCCCAGAAGAGGTCAAGCCCAGAGGCCCCGGAACTTGATCTCGGGCCGGGCCAGGTACTGCCCCGCGGGGGGTCGGAGCTGAAAGCCCGTGACCTTCCCCTGAACGCGGACGGGCAGCGGGCTGAAGCGGGGCGGCCGCTGCTCGGGCCTCCCCGTCCGGACTCACCGCCCACCGGAGCCGCCCAGGTGCCGCTGCTCGGAACATAGTGTCGGCTCTCGTCAGCCCAGCTGCACCCTCGGCCTCAGGGATGTGCGGGGCCGGCGATCACCTGAACGCTCGCGAGACGCGAGAACGCGCGGAGACACCCCTACCCACCGCCCGCCCAGCTGGGACTGCGAGCTAGCGCGTCCCGCTTGCCCATTGGACGGTCACGCAGCCAATGAGGAGAGCGGGAAGTTAATGGACTTGGGAGTGGGGCAAAGGAGAGGGTGTGCGCGGGGAAACTCGGTCTGGGAGCGGCGGAATTGCTGAGGCCGCGCCCGCCTCTTGCAGGCGTCTGGGCTGTGACTGGGTCTCCGGCGAACCGTGATGACAATGTCTGGGCGAACTGGACAGCTGTGCAGAACTTTCCATCCGTGAGGACGGTCCTCTCGCTCCATTCATTCTTTTCATTGCTCGTTTATTCACAACTCTGCTACTAGTAATGTGCCAAACACTGTCAGGTGAAGGAAGTTTAAGGATGCTTTCGTTGTCCTGCTTTGGGAGACTAGGACCCTGAGGAAACATGCAAATGAGTATATCATTGCTACTTAAAGGGGAGGGGTCGTCGCGTGGGTGGGTGATAATTGATTTGGATTCTGGAAGAAGGAAACAGTGGGCTTAGCAGGGGAGGAGTACGATGGAAGACCCCGTTACAAACGGCAGGATTTTTGTGTGCTGCCCGCAGAAAGAGGCAGAATGACTGGAGATGGGCTACATCAGAGGGCTAGAGACGACTTTGAGTAAGGGGCTACCTAGAGAGCCACCTTGTCCTTTCCACCGTCATCTCCTGGCATCAATGCCTGTGCTGCAGAATCTCTCCTGATCTTTGAATCTGCCTGTCCATCAGCCTTCTGGATACCCCAGAACGTCCCTCGAAACTCAAAACAGGGGTCTCAAAACAGGGGTCTGTTTCGTGAAGAACTGGCTCAAGTAGGCCTCTGTAAGGCCTTCTCTGATCCCCTGGAATGAATTAATCCTTTCTCTTCTTCACTCTCCTAGTCTTCTGAACCGGATGAGAACCCATTTTAAACAAGTCTGTAGCCCTGAGGAGGGCTGAAGCTGCGCCAACCCCAATGAAGCTGTCAATGGGAGAAGCAACAGTATTCTATTTGTCAGTGTATTTGCCTTCCAACCCAGAACTCAAATCTGAGCCCTATGGAAGTGGAAGGAACAGGGGAAAGTACTTTAAGTAAAAACCAAAAGGAATTATTTTAATTTTTAAAAGTCTAAAAATTGTGTGAGCTAAAGCCCTTCTGCCTAAGTGACAAGGCAAAAACAGAGCAATTCTTCCTTCCCCTACCCCATGGGACTGCTCTGGCACCTCCCAGGCTCCAGTGAATCAGCAGCAGTGGTGCCTAGCAGATGCACAATGCCCATGGGGCATGGTGGTTCCAGGCAGAGTGGGGCTAGTATAGAGAAAGACACAGAAAATGGTCTGCCTGTAACAAGTGACCAGACTTCACTCTAAAGACAGAAGAATATCCCTAGGGAAGGTCAGGAGGGAGGGATACAGATAGCTTTTCCACATTTACATGTAAGTCAAGTACCAGAGAAATGTGTGTATGGAAACATTGATATCAGACAATTTTCTTTCCACTCTGCTATGAGATGCTTTGGTGGCAGGATGCATACTTTCTATTAGCTGGGTTCTGTGTGGCTGTTCTCTATTTGTAGAAATGTTTGTATAATGTACAAAGGAAAAGAGAGGAAAAGGAGGGAGGAGAGAAAAGTTGTCATGGCTAGTCCTTGAAGACTGATTTCACTCTGTCAGGAAAAATAGCTCTTTCCTCCCCACAGGCCAGTTTTAGGCATAACCCCTCTAGAATTCCTGCGGAAGCAGAAGGTTGGCACCCTTGGCTGGGAGCGACCCCTGGGCCCCATCATGTCTTTCCTCGCTGTGCTGGATAGCTTTAGTGTCAACTTGACACACCCGGGTTGAAGGAGCCTCAATTGGGGGATTGTCTCTATTGAACTCGCCTGTGGCCATGTCTGAAGGGCATCTTCTTGATGAGTGATGTGGGAGGGCCCAGCCCACTGTGGGTGGTGCTACCCCTGGGCAGGTGGGCCTGTGTTGCATAAGAAAGCAGGCTGAGCAGGGGCCAGGGGAGCAAGCCAGTAAGCAGCGATTCTCCATGGCCTGTGCTCCAGCTCCTGCCTCCAGGTTCCTGCCCTGAGTTCCTACCTTGGGCTCCCACTGTGACCCGGGATATGTAAGCTAAATAAACCCTTTCCTCCCCAAGTTGGTATTGGTCAGAGTGTTTTGTCATAGCAATGGAGAGACAAACCAGGATATTCAGTATCATTTTAAATCCTCTTCTCTCTGCTAGCATCTCTACAGGGCTTGGGGATAACCTGGTGCCTCATGTGCTGACGACCTGGGCCCCTAACCACCAGGCCTTTCTCAAGCCAAGGCTACTGTGCTGCACTTGCTTGTATACTGTCACAGTTCTACACGGGAGCATTAAAAGGCACCCAAATGACTCTTAGATCAGTATTGACCAAAATGATAACTTTACTTCCTGATTTCTAGACCCTACAATAAATGCCCAAACTGCCCAGGTGACAGCTGTAGTTTGATAAAACTCTTGTTAAGTCATCTGGTAGAAGGTTTCTCTTTTGGAAACAAAGTCTAACTCCATAGGACCTAGAGTCACAGTGCCATAGAAATGACTGTGAATCAGGAGTCAAGATTCAAGGCACTCTGAAAGATGAACCCCAGTCCTTGTGAAGTCCTGCCTGAAAGCTGTAGCTTCAAGTAGGCCCTCAGCAAGTCATTCAAATGTCTGTCAGAATAGCAGATATAAAGTCTGTGACTTGGATGCTATGATCATCTAATTTCTACTCTGCCATTACAATCAATTAGGGCTATAGTCTGATATGATGGTTACATTGGCTCCAGTGCTGGTAGATCAGATGCTAGACAGTGGTGCTAGCCTAGGGCCTGTGGACAGGAAAGTTGAACAGAACCAGAATCTGTATTGATACCTGTCAGAATGAGTCATTGCTCTCATAGAGTAGAGGGGTTTAATGTAGCCAATTTACACCACAGAGCCTGTTGGTCTCCTGGAAGAATGAACCATGCTGGGGGCTCGTTCAGCCACTGCAATAGTGTATCAGTTGCTTTTCTCATTGTACAAACACCCAATGAAAAACTTACAGAAGAATTTCTTTTGGCTCACAGTTTGGGGGTGCAGTCCATCATGATGAGAAAGGTAAGGCTGTAAGAGCAGCTCTGTGTGGACCAGGAACGAGAAGCTGCTGGTCATGAGTACCCGAGGCAGGAAGCAGAGAGAAATGAATGCTGGTGTTCAGCTGACTCCCTCCTTTTTCCTTTTCATTCAGCTTGGGGCCCTAGCCCATGGGATAGAGCTTCCCACATTCAAGGTGGAGCTACCCCCTCCAGATAAACCTCTTTGGCTTAACTCCCTCACAGACATGCTCTGAGGTATATCTCCTAGGTGATTCTAAATCCAGTCAATTTGACTGAAGATTGATTAACCATCATAAGTAGTTGCCTCAGCCTTTGTAAAGGGGAGCCCATGTATTAGGCTCCTACTGCCTTTGTACATTTCTGTCACTGTGATCATGGAAGGCATGTGCCCTTAGTGCCAGCACTGAGTGGGTAAAGGCAAAGATTGGCCAAGTCAGCTGGCCTAGACATTTTTTGTCTAAGATAGATTCTTTTTTTTTTTTGTCTTTTTTGAGACAGGGTCTCCTTGTAGCCCCAGCTGTCCTGGAACTCACTATGTAGACCAGGCTGGCCTCAAACTCACAAAGATCCACCTGCCTCTGCCTTCCCAAGTGCTGGGATTAAAGACGTGCACCACCACACCCGGCTTAAGATAGATTCTTTTATACATTCGTCTTTGTGCCTCTATCCTAAAACTTGTTCCCAGCTTTCCAATATTCTAGCTACTGGTTTGGCAGGTAGGCCATTCATCATGGCCCTTGACTTCATGTATATTGTAAACTTGGGATCCTTATGTGTCCACATAAAGTGGATGACCAAGCATACCTTCTGAAGTGCTACTCATTAAAATTATCTTCCCTCCCCATTGTTTCAATGCTGTCCCTAAGCAAGGCTAAGTGTACCTGCCCTCTGTTGGCAATCTGAATTCACGTACTCAACAGAGTCTCCACAAGCTACATAAAGGTTCCCTGCTTATGGCCATAAGCATTACTTGTAGCTGGTGTAACAGTGGCCATGGTCCAGGCTTCCAGTTTTACAAGTTGCTGTGCTCTCTGGGCCTACTTTCACTCATTCTTCAATGTACCAGTTCCATCCTAGAGCAGATTGCTTCTTTGTACCTGATATTCTGATTTAGTGGGCTTTACAGAGTCCAAATCATGATGGATAATGACTAGCATTTGGTTACTTGATGTCATCAAGCCCAGTAGCACGCAGAAATTTTTGTTGTTATTTGATGGTTTTTTGTTTTGGTTTTTTCAAGACATGAATTTCTGCTTCAGATGTCATGCCTGGCTCCAGTGCCACAGGGGCTTGTCTTCAGACTCTCACAGTGGAGTTTGCCATAAACTCTACACCACATCTTTTTTTATTAGTATTACTGTCTGTGGAAACATTCGTGGCCAAGTATTAGGACTATCTGCACTGTAACTAGGCCTACTGTGACTCTTCATCTCTGAGGGCACTCTAACACAGCAGCTTCTGCATCACTAGTATGTAAGCTGGAGCAGTATTTTTCAGGTGTGGAATATACTATATCCAGATATCAGGCATTAGGTTTCCATCTTCATGGTGGGAAATGCAAGATGCAATTATTTATCTTTTCATTTGAATGGGATAACCTAGCATATGCCTGACTCTGGACCCATAAAAATCTTCTGATGTAGCAACCCCCCGCATCTTTAGAGGACTTACAAACACACACTGAAGTACGTGTATCAGATGAAGGCCTCTAATGTGCTATTCACTTTTTGTCCATCTGGGTAAATTAACATGATGTCATGGATGTAATAGATCAATGTGATGTTTTGCAGTTTTTCCAGATGGTCTAGATCTCGTCAAGCTGTTATGACAGATGCTGAAAGTTAACACTGCCCTGAGGCAAAACTGTAAATGTATACTGCTGTTCATTCTACATGGTTACATGCTATC